ATATAGAGCATCTCAATCCAGAACAATATCCTGACAGAGATGCTTTCGATGGCTTCTTGTGCATTAATGCTCCAAAACATGTTTAAAATATATAACAAAGTGAATATTGAACCGAAGCTTTGCCTAAAAAAAAAATATCACATTGTATGTCAAAGTAAATCCCAACATCTGTCAGAAAAATTGCAGTACCATCATTTTCTCACATCGTTAAGCAATAACTTCTGTGGCTCCATCCTTACATGAGGCGTGGCCATTAGATAACAAGACTGGACTTGTGTCACTGGAACCACAGTGCAAATGTGTGAGCCTCCTGCTATACGCTGACCAATCAGCAAGCAGAAAGTTTCAACTTGAATTTCAGAAAATTTAATCAAAGAAAATGATTATATTCCATCTTACATCATCAGGGACCATCTCTAAATGGGCTGAAACTGTTTTTTTTTAAAAACATAAATTATGGATGTTTAATAGGTATCTGTGAAATTTTAGACTGACATATGAAGCACTTTGACAGGTATAGATACACACACACACACACACACACACATATATATATATATTTGAATTGCCCTTGAACTCACTTTTAGCACTTTTTTTTTTTGCACATTGAAATCCGAGGCTTTGTTTGAGCAATCACATCTTAGAAACTGTTCAAGGTAGAAGCCTGTTATTTCCACATCACGTCATGGATTCAGAATGTGCAATATTGTACAAGTATAGTCAAATAGTTTCTCATTATTGGTGGAAATATGAAAAAAAAATGCATAATGTATTTGATATGTCAACCTAAAACTTAACAAATATCCATATTCCAAAAATAATTCAGACAAATCCGAGATGGTCGAGCACAAATTGGTCTAAAAATGTAATGATTTGAGATGGACTGACCCAAAATACAGCATTAGTCTCATTATATATCAGTCACACCTCGTGTGCAGCATATTTCAGAGCCCACTGAAGCTGCAGTTTCTGTATTCTATAAAAAACACCTCAACTGTATCGGCCCCTGTTGCTAATTATAAACATTTCAGTTATTAATTAATGCAGCACCACAAGTCCAGTACCTGCTCAAACCACAGGGCATCAGTTTGTCCCTGAAAGTGGTTTATTGCTGGAATTAAATCAGCAATCACACTTTAATATCATTTTCCCCTATTTTTTTTTAAACAATTAGAATTTATTTGTATTTTAATTTGTGCGTAAGAGCTGCAGTGTACCCGTCCCTTTTCAATAATTTGTTAGATGCAAAAAGTTTTAATGCCAAACTGTAACTTGTGGCTTTTTTCATACTCGTCATTTTAAAAATTAAAGTACAAATTTACCACTTTTTAGGCACAAACACATCCAGGAGGAGACGGAGGAGACACCTCAACCAAACAAGCCAAACAAAAGACCTCCAGCCGACCCGGTCCAAGAGGACGAGACGCCAAAGAGGAAGAAAAAGACGACAATCAGCAGCGAACAAGAGGAAAGTTCGTCGAAGGAAAACAAACCTCCCAAAACGAAGAAAGAGAAGAAGGGATCTGTGAAAAATGAAGAGGTGAACGAAGAGCTTCCTGAAGCCGACTCGTCCGCTCTTTCTAACGAAGGGAAAAAGAAGAAGAAGAAAAAGAAAATGAAGGCAGCAACGGGCGAAGAGACGACAGAAGATTCGACCCCCATCACTGTGAGCCCAGACGTACCTGCCAGGAAAAACAGTAAGATGGACCTTTGTTTTGATGTGTTTCAGTTTTTGCATTACTCTTATACAGGAAAGAAGAACAAGTTTCAGGCGTTTGGAAGCAAAACTTAAAACAAGATGCTAATTAAAAACTGTCCTCACATGGGTCCAAAACACATCCCATAATGAAGTCCCATCATCCACGTCTCTCATCCACATTTTTGAACATGAGGTGGTAACTTTTGACCTGAACCTTTCTTGCATGGTCCAGGATGGGACTTAATTTGATCTCAATATTTAATGCTTTAGAATAATTTCAGAATTTACTGATGCACTTTATCTTGGTATGGATCCCAGGCTCATTTTTGCAGTTTCGGACTCTTGCAGGAAGGTTTGAACTGTAAAGAGTTCATAAAAGGTCACTGTAAGGAATTATTACATTTTTCTTGCAGTCCTTCAACATTTGGTGAATCTCTGCCCTTAAAATAAACTGCCAGATAAGACAAAACACTTTGCAGACAGTGTAGAAAAGAGGGACGATGTGATGCGTTTAATGTTCATTATTAAAACTCCACTCGTCAGCATCATCCAGCTGCTGAAGCTGTGGCTGAATAAGACTGTTGATCAGGCTTCTGTTTTAGTTCATTCTGTGGTTCTGTGTATCTGCAGGATTTGAACCTGTGGTGCTTCTACGATAAAAACACGCACCACAGGAGTTCAGGCAAACTGTGACTAATCGTGCACCGGTTATCTTACAGGAATAGTTTGGTTTCTTTAAAGTGAGGAGGGGCTCTATGAGCTATACTCAGTGTATAATCTGCAGTAGATGCTTTTGGCAAAACCCCAGTTTAAAGAAGCACCGATCTGCTGTAAAAATTGGTCAACAGCAAAGCTTCTTTTTAGCCACTTGAAATGATTAATATCGCTCTAAGTGTACGCTCTATTTGGACGATTCTCACCATCTTGCACTACAGTCAGACAGCCCTTTCCTTTGGCTCTACATTTTCTTGTCTGCAGAAGCTCTATATTCCTAAAGTGCACCACTAAATTAGGCTGCAGATGAGCTGTGTCGGTCAGAGTTTCAGCGATGTAATGGGCAGCACACCGACTGTGGAAAAGTACCTCAAACAGCCCCACTTCAAAGGAACCACAGCTGGCTACAGTCATAATCAGAGATAGGAGCTGGTGAATCAGCAGGGGTCCACTACATGATACTGTATTAACACAGCTCAGGCTTTCTCTGTAGGTCAAAGGAAATATTATTGCAAAGTGATGTCAGAGAAATTCCCGCTATGACCTTTCGGGGCTCTGTTTGCAGCATCTTCTAGCTTTCTTCTCACCCACAAAGCGCTCCATAATCAGGCCCCCTCTTACCTCAAAGACATGCTCCATCCCTACACCCTTTCACGTACCCTCCGTTCCGAAAAATCAAAACTCTTGATCGTTCCCAGGACCAAGCACCAAACCTGGGGGGACAGGGCCTGTTCTGTCGCCGCCCTCTGGAACTCTCTCCCACAACATATACGAGACACCTCAGACCCAGCAATATTCAAATGTAAATTAAAAACTCATCTGTTCCGCTCCGCTTTTCCCACCTAGGCCTCGGCTCTATTTCGATATTTACTGTTTTTTTGTTTTTTATTTTTTCACCTGCTTGCTGTATTTCTATATTGTCAACCTTTGTATTTATTGCTTATTGTTTAATGCTTTTATTGCTTTGCTTTTATCCTGTGAAGCGACTTTGAGTTCTTGAAAAGCGCTATACAAATAAAATGAATTATTATTATTAGTATTATTTATAGGGAACAGTGGCTGTATCGTGTTGATTAGCAAAAGTTCCTCAGTTATGACTCGTAATGATTTCTTATTGTGCTGATGTTGACAGAAAAGAACAGATTAAAGGACCGACTGGAGGAGACAGAACCTGCTGCAGACAAACTCCCTCCTCCTGCTGTTTCTGTGGTAAGAAACACAACGGAGCAAACATTAAACACTTTTTCTTTTCTTCTCTGACCTGAAAGCTATTCCAGCTGTTAAACTTCCATCTTTGTGGCCATTTCTTTTACTTCTTTTACACTAGTCGTTTATTCGTGTACACAAAAACGCAGGGACCTAAACAGTAAAGCACATTTCCTCTCAGAGTGTCTGCAGGTGCACTTGGCATTTCTGTCAACATGTTGTCTCATCTCTGCAGAAAAAGAAAAAATCCCTAAAAAAGAAGATAGCAGATTGAATCTGGGTAAGTAGCTTTCCAAGGTTTTCGGTTCAGCTTTGTGCTGTATGTAGGAAAATACCGCTTTCTTAAAAGATGTGTGTTGACACTGGTGTTACTGGAACACAGTAGAGTAGTACAGAGCTCCTTAAAGGTCACAGCCAGGAATTTTTAAGGTACTTTTGCGTCTCCTTTGCATTCCTTCTGATCCACATGAACAGTTGGTGGTTTGGTCCAGTTATAACGCGCTGCAGATCCACAAAGCAAGAAGGTGCGACACTCAGTGGTTGCTTGTTTTTCATTGTAACCCTCTGAAGCCCTGGAGGTCTCTGGGCGTTTCTGTGCTCCTGACACAGTTTTAATCACTGTGCGCTCATTTTTAACTGCAATATGAAGTCCTGCTCCTCTGATGAAATAGCACAACCAGTACGAAGAATTCAACAATGTCTTTTGCACAACATGAGAAAGTTTCAATGCCATAAACCACAAAAGAAAGAACAAACAAAAGTTGAATTTTGTTGATTATACGTTCTAAAAAAAAGAACTGGAATCAATATTTTTCCAAGAGCCCACAGACGATGTCAGTACTGGTGGCTCTACACGCTATAGATATTATACTCCTTACATTTTTAGTAGTTATTCCATCCCGTTGTCCTGTCTGGTACGTGTAAACACAACCTGCAGTTCAGGTGGAAAGTCCCTGAATTTTTGTCAGTGGACTTTTTGTCGCAGGTGAGTCACAAATGGCTTCACGTTCTGCAGAGAAATAAAGAATTTCTCATTTTCAACAGTGTGGTTTGTACAGATGGTTCATTTTGGGCAGATTTTAGAATAAAACTTGTAGAATGAAGTGATTTTGATCAAATATACTTTCAAAACTGTCGGACAGTTCAAAATCAGATCATTCTTTCTGCTTGTGTAGTTTCTGAAAAATTGAGTAATTTTGGTGCTTTTTGTTTTGTAAAGTTAGCCTGACTTTCAAATCGCTCAGCAGCTTTTCAAATCAAAAAGTTCCTACTGTGATCCTCAGCAGAGATGTGTGCGGAGTTTTATTTGTGAAATCAAAGAAAAAGTTAAATGGAAATGTTTTTGAAACAGCAGGCACACCGCATCATTTTAAACTCAGTTTAGGCTCATGTTCTGATTGAATTGGGATTAATTGGGACTTTATGTTTCGTTTTCTTTTTTTGTTCTCTGTTCAGATGTAAGTGGAGGATGATTGGACCTGAAAGCCCGAAAAACAACACGAGTAATTGTAGTGCCTTTTCTGATCATTACTGTGTCTCAGATGAAAGGTTTTGTTTAGTTTTTTTTTTTTGAAGTCTCAGAAACAGATTGTACACAGATGAGTAATGGCGACTGTTTTCAGCCTCACTGTCTTTAGTTCTTAAACTGTGAATTCAACACAGTACATCTGCAGTTTGTCTACAAGTTCAGACGCCTTCACTAACATCAGCTTTGTTGGCGGCTGAGCTGCTCTGGAAGCTCACTCAGTGCTTCATAACAAACCTCTGACTCTCTGAGAGCCTTCTCAACCGGAAGTTTAATTAAACAATTTATTTCAAATATTTCATAATGCAGAAACATAGTAGTAAAGGAAGCCAAAGAGTGGCCTTTAATTTGGATTTGTCTATTGAAAAACAACAAAGCATAAATATAAACAGGAGTATAATGAAGTTTATTTTTATTATTGGGGAATTTGCTCAACATAAAGTCTAATAATTTTGTCAAAATGCCCCAAAAGCCAAAGACATTCCATTTACCTGAAAGTGGGAGAATGTTTGGAGACTTTGTGAGATGATGATGTTTGTACCACAGAGCAGCTCTGTTTTCAATAAAAGTTTATATTGTCAAAGCTACAATCACGTTTTTGAGGGTGAACTTTCAGACCCTTCTCCTTGCCTTCACCTGGTGTTGAGTGAAACTCTTCTGGGTGTGCTGGATGATCTCGGCACTGCAGATGAACTGTGTTGGGAAACTCTTCATCTCTTAACTTCAATACGCTTCAGGGTAGCAAGCTGTGAAACACAGATTTCAAAGTAGGCCATGTTTTTGTCAGTAATGTGTTAATGATCTGATTCAGAAATACTTTTTTTTTTTTCTTTTGGTAGGACATGCAGCTTTGTTTAGAGGAAGCGCTTTGTGTGTTACTGATTTCTGTTTACTTTTTCTCTGTCAGTCAGAAGCTGTGAAGTTCTGTTTTGTTCCTCTGTGCCCTGTCGATTCTGGGAAAACTTAAGGTTTCAGTCCTCAGACCTTGTTCAGCGCAGACCAGGCCGAACGGATGAAGCCAACTCTTGGTTCAGATCAGGCAAAACTGGCAAAAGGCACATTTAGGAAAATAGAAAGTGCTTCCCACCACAGGAGAGGAGTATTCTGTAATGTGGACTCCAGTCAGTCCATCAGTTCCAGATGACACACAAGCGTAACAACATCACTCACACCACTGTGGGTAATTCTACTGCAGGAATCAGTCGGACAAAAATAACCGTCAGATCAAAAGACACAACTGCAGACAAACATTTTCATGAATTTTACATGTACAGTGATGAACTTCATGTGATGGACGATGCAGGACTCTCAAACCCGTCAGTCCCACTTGGTTCTGAGGACTGAAACCTTGGATGTCCCGGCAGAGACCACTTCTCTTACCTCTCAGTGTTTCTTCCTGCACACCTACAGGAAGCAGTAGATGTGCACGAGCCTTTTCAGACATGTTTACTTTTATAGACTTTCAACTATGCACTCGATTGAATCCTGTTGCTGTTTTTACTACTTTGGTACTTTGTAAAACTTTCACTGCTTTAAATTCGCCGTTCCTGAGGACCAACATGTTTAGAGTCTGTTGGACACCGAGGTAGAAAACAAATCCATCTGTACCAGCTTTGATTTTTGCTGTTCTCCATTCATGCTGTTACATGTGTTTAAGGTTACTGGAGTTATTAAGTGTTCGAAATCAAACTGGGAAACTGATAATCTGACTTGACTTTATACTACAAAATAAAAATAAAAAAAACTCTGCTGGGTGTTTTGTTTTTAAGGGAAATTAAAGCCAGATTGAAAGGATCTGAACACTGTCACACTGTAAGTGGTCCTCACCTGTATTTCACAAGAGCATTTAATATATATATATATTAAACTTTTCTCCACTGTTGACCTCCTCTATGCATCTGGCTTCACATTACAGTAAAAACGCTTCTTAAAAACAATAATCACTTCATGATATGCAAAAACATTTGAAGCTCAGGGATTAAACGTCTACAAGAACCACATTTTAAAAGTTGCAGCATAAATATCACATTTATATTCAGGCTGCATTTTACAGTTTCAGGACTGAACTGAGTAATTTGGATTCTTACATTTTGGGTCCTAAAGCAGCACAAATGCTCTGTTTTTGTAGAGAAATGGAGAAATGAGGCCTTTCAAATTCTCAGTGTCTGTGTTTACTCATAAGTCAATATATTGTTTAAACAGTTAAAAAAATAAAGAATACAATAATAAAGTAATGCTTAGTTTTACAGGCTCTGTATGTTGGAGATATTTTAAATTAAAGATTATAAAGCAGATCTATACGTCAGCTAGAATCCAAATACAGAGTTTTATTATGGCCTGATTTCTCTGGTAAACTCCATAAACTTGTAGATGTCAGATCATTTTTCACTCAGCTAGGACTGAATTTAACATAATCAGCTGGAACTGCAACACTTTCTCCATTTCTCAGAGAATTGAGACCAAATTGTCTCTGACCTGCTTAGAAACACTCTTTACATTTACAGTTAAGTTTTTGAACAGCTGGAGGAAAGTTTCCTGGAAAATGCAAAACCCATGAAAATCATTAAAAAGCAAATTAGAGGGGATCAGTTTCCTGTAACTGTTAGACTGATTTCCTTTATATAAAAAAACAAACACATGTAAACTGTTGTTCATGTTTTCTACTTTGTGTTTTCACATTTCTGAATGTGTTGTTTTGTCCGTTTTATTTCTTCCATTAAAAAAGTTGTCTTTAAACTGACTGTTTACGTCTGTAACTCATTCAGAAAATAACTTCTTTAACAGTTGGCATGCAGATTGTGACACATTGATCAAAATAAAAGTGAATGAACAGGGGAAAGTGTAGTACCTGTGAGCTTAAGCTGCTTTAAATAAGACTTCAGGTGCAACACTTTAGCATTGGCAGGTTTTGTTTTTGTTTTTGTCATGTGCAGCTCCTGCTGGTATGAAAGTATTTTTCAGCACAACAAAAAAAAACTTTTTGCCCTTAAAACTGAATCATGTCACTTGTTAAATGGTAAAACGGCAGATTTTAAGATTTTTTTAAAATCATATCAAGTGAATCCAGGGTTTCCGCATATCCTCAAATGTCTTCCTTAAATAAAAGCTTCCTAAAACAAGCAAACAAACAAAAAAAACTGTGGAAGAATTAGAAAGTCTTCAATATTTGTTCTTCTTTGATGTTTTTAATTAACATTTGGTTTTTTGTTAGTGGAGTATATGTTTTATTTTGGTTCCTTTCTGCTGTTCCTGACTGCTTGCTCACAGGGAGAATCCAAACACAGCTTTGGATCGTTGCTGTTCAAAATTCACAAGGTCTGTGATATGACATGTTGTAAGTTTACGCTATATAAATAACATTGAATAGATGTGTGTTTTAACAGGTAAGAGATCAGAATAATGATCTTTAAACTTAATGAAATGACTTTTAGTTTGCTTTGGTCCTGAGTGGATGTCCAGTCCTTCTCAGAGCTTCCTGCTGTGTACCGTGGTACCGGTTCTCCTGCAAGAAAACTAATTCCTGGTCATAAAAAGTACAGTTGTTCTCAAATGTATTCGTACCCTCCCATTAAAGAAGGAAAAAAAACAGCTGTCACTGAAATAAGTTGAGATAATAAATTAAAAATCAATGAAAATCATGACACACAAAAAAAACAAAAAAACAAGCAAACACACATGATGGGACCCATAAACTAATATTTAGTTGAACAACTCTTTGAGCCAATCACTGCCATCAGGTGTTTTCTGTAACTCTCCATCAGACGTCTGCACCTGTTGACAGGTGTTTGGATTTCACTGCTCATCAGCAAAGTGCTCTGATTTGTCTGGGACAGATTTTTTTTTTTTTTTATTTCACTAAATTATACTTTTGCATTTTTTTTTTTATTAATTCTTACTTTTGTTCAGTTTCTAGTTATTTGAGTGACTGTTGTGAATTTTGTCTTTTCTTTAATTGAAGGGTATGAATACATTGGAGGACGACTGTACATTTAATCGCCAACTGTGGCAACACATTCTCAGGAATATTTTATGCATTTTCCTTTTCAAGTTTCATCACACTTTACAGAACTTTCTAAACTCGCAAAAAAAAAAAAAAAAGTTACACAAACTTTCTATTAAATCGGGTCTCTTCTGAAAGTCCCTCACAGACACAAAGTGCAACACAATCACTGAGTGACACTCATGTCTCGATGTGATGTGGGAGCGAGCAGCCGGCAGGATGTTCTTGACTGTGATTATACATAATTACAGAACTGATGCAGCAGCTGCGTATGGCTGGCAGCATTAAAATGCCCATAATGACATCTGTGGCATCATATATTTTCTTTATACACCAAGTTCAGTGTCTGGAGGAGAACGAGTGGAAAATGTAAGGTGACGGTTCTGTTGCTGCTCGCTGGACTTTACTTCATTTTATAACTCAGCAATACCTCTTCTTTGGTTGGTCACTGCAGCTACTGCAGCATAACAAGGCTGCTGCCTGATTGTGTCATAAAAGGTGAATTATTTTTGATTTAAATGAAAGCTGTTTGCAGGGGCTGAAGAACTTTGAGCTTTTCGATGAGCAGAATCAGTTTGACTCTTTATTTCCAAAAAACACAACAACAAAAAACACAAATGTTATGTGTAAACTTAAAACTGCGGCATTATCTCATCAGAAATGTCTTAATTTGCATTAATATTCAGAACAGAAATCTGAACATTCGATAAAAAAACAGCTTTGAAATGCTTGTTTCAGTTTGTTGCCGTGTTGGAGTGGAAGGCTTTCACTGAGGGGATTTCGCTTATCTCTGTATGACTCAATAAATCACAAAATACTGTCAGAGGTAGGAGGGAAAAAAAGCTATGTTTTTGGGAATAAAAATCTCTATAAAGCGGGCTATGAATGATATATGAACAAACCCCTCTGTGCACAAAAACCTCAAAATACAGAGGGGAATAAAAATGGAGGGTTTGGTGAGTGTGCTGCTGAAATGGAGATTTCTGACTCAGAGAAAACAGATATATTTTATAGTTAGTTAATAACCTATAAGGTAGAATAGTTGTAAGCTGACAATATTAGAATGTGCGTCTAATATCTGCTGTACAACTAAGTCAGAAACGATTGAAGATATGAAAAAAGTAGAAATGTTTTGAAACAGAGGAAGGGTGCATCAACATTTTAAAGTTTAAATGGAGTCTGTAGGTGAAAGTATGGCTGAGCAGTGGAGGTTTGAAAAGTAGTGTGATTTTGTGTGTTTTTTCGTCCGTCCCATTCATTTTCAATGGGAGATTTTTTGCGACGTTTTGGCGAATTGTGTCGCGAAAAATGCGTTTTTTGTAAATCTGTATGTAAGCACACGATTCCCGATCGAGCCGCACGTTTTGATGTATAATTTGTGTGGGTGCTC